ACAAGCCAAAAGTATACATTTTATCTGAAAACATGAGTTTTTGCCAAAAACATCCTTTAACTATACCCCAAACTTAAACTACATCCTTAAAGTATCATTTCTAGCAGATAACATCCTTTAACTATACCCCAAACTTAAACTACATCCTTAAAATATCATTCTTACCATAAAACATCCTTCAAGTATTTTAAAGTGAGCAATTTTCATCCTTCTACTTGAATATCTCGTAAAACTACCCGATATATCCCACAAAAATTAAGTCGTCCCTTCCTAATTAGCATTCTTATATATGCCAAGAAAATTATCGTGAACTTTTTCGTAATTGAGTTATAAATTATGCAAAACTTTTAATTTGACCATTTTTTTAAGTATAACTTACCCAAATCCCATAGTGTAAGATTTAAATTACATTCTATCCCTACTCTTTTTAAATTTATGAAAATCCCTTAAAAATAATGTTATTCAGATACATTGCAAATAACTTGGATACATTAAATATGATACATTAAAACAAATTCAGTTACACTTTTAAAGAAAAGAGAATATAAAATTGATTGTTAGTTCCTCAAATTACGCTAATTTAATTGATTTCAATCTCTTCAAAATCTTATAAGATTTAATAAAATCAAAATTTAAATTTTCTTCTCCAATTCTCTTCCAAATCTGTCCGCCTTCAATTTAAAATTTAAATTTTTCTCTCAATTCTATTCCAAATTCGTATGGTTTCAAACAATTCAAATTTTTATCTTTCGATTCTTTCCCCAATCATAATAGATTTTAAAAGTTGAAAACAATAGCCGATACATGATCATGAATATGCTCAAGAATCTGGAAAATCAAGGTGAGTTATGAATGATACATAAGTGGGATTTTAAATTTCTTCTTCCAATTCGTCGAAGATCCTTTCAATTTTGATTTAAAATCACAAAACAATGAGAAGGTACATCATGAATATTTTGATTTATCTAAGACAATGAAGAATCTGGAAAAAGAATCTGACATTCAAAAATCTGGAAATAATATGAGTCTTGATTTGCCACGTATAAAATAGATCAGAGTTTTAATTGCATAGTAAAATGGATCTGACAATCAGAGGTATGAAACTACATATATTGTGTTGTTAATTCAATTTTTATTTATATTTTTTAGATGACCATTCAATCGTGATACATTAGTATTTGTGTTTCTTGTATAAATTGATAAGTACTATACTCCTATTAATTAGATACATTAAATAAGTACTTGAAATTAAAGATCAACAAGTTACTATGTGATACATGTAATATTAATTTAAATTATTATTTCATTACCAAATATCTAACATGATACATTACTATTTGTATATCTTGTTGTTTGTGGAATGCTGTACTTTATAGATGATACATTATGCATATATTTTGTTGTAAAAGCATCCAAATATTCAAGAATGAGGTATGTATAAGATTAAAGTTATATTTTGTACTTGATATAAGTATATAAGTTTAGTTGTTTGATTTTTTGTGATTGATGCATAAAAATGACTGTTTTACGGAATGTATCACTAATTTTTTTAATGTCAACAAGTTTTTGAATCAGTTGAGTATCTTTATTCAGTCTATGATTCTAGAAGAAATATATATTGTTTGTCTTGAAAGATAAATATGCAATTGTGGAAGATTTCAAGTTGATCAAATGCTTTTTTCTATAATATTTTTTTTAAAATAATGTATCTGATACAATAAGGGTGTGAAAGAATAGTGTGTATAAGCTGAAATAAAATGTATTTATAAAGGTATCATTTAATAGTTGATTATGTATTTGGTACAGTAAAATTATCAATGTTTATGTATTTATGTATGAAGATATTTAATTTGATACATAGTGTTTTTATCAAAATAAACGAGATACATTTAAAATTAAGTATCAGATGCGTGGAACAAACAACGATTGTAGCAATGCTGTATCGAATCAATAATAGAGATAACAAGTAGAATCAGAATAAATGAGATACATTGTGTCTTTGGTAGTGATAATCGTGTAATGACTGATCCAACTATTTCTTTCTCTTTTTTTGAACTTGTATTTCAATGTAGATTTAAAATTCGAACATGTATAAACATTGCAAATCAAATACGACTTTCTAGTGTTTGATTTATAACAAAATAATTCTAACAATATAAATGAAATAAGAAAAATATTATTTAATAATCAAATATGAAAAGAAATCCTAATATAATTAAATAGCAAACATTCTTCCATAATATAGTAATTTGTGATTGATAAGGTATATCAATCAATTGATTTTCTTTCTATTAGTTGATTTTTATTTTTGTTGTTATTATTTTTTCTATTTCTTTCTCCACGTTATTCTCAAATCTCAATCATTTGTTATTTTTTTTTAAAGAAAATTAATCAACAAAAAGTAAAAGAGTATTTCTAAATCTTGATTCAACATATAATTTTTTTATGATTCAATCAATTTTAATTTTTTGCTTTTTTTATAAGTTTTTTGTTTTTATCTTATTTTTTCATTTTCTTAATCTGATTTTTTTGAAATAAGATTGATTTTTATCAACTTTGATGTTATTTTCACTTTTTATTATTATAATCTAAAATTCTATTGTTGAGAAATAAAAAATTATTTTCTAAAATTTTGATTCCATTTTTGTTGTGGTATAGAGAGTGATTTGCGGATTGAAATAAGTAAGGAATAAATATTAACTTTGGGAGTTAGGATTTATGTATCAAATGTTTGGAGTTTGGGAGTTAAATAAGGAATTTTGAAATTTTTTAAAACTGATAGGGAATAACGGAGATTATGAAAAGAAAAGATATATATATATATATATATGTAATTTATCCTATTTTTAATTCATTTTTCACGTTTGAGACTTTAGTATCTTCCCATTCAAATTCAAAATTCAAAAATTAAATAACATTTAATTGAATACATTTTTTCCCTATTTAGAATTGTATGCGTTTTTATTTTCTTTCTAAAATTAAGATTAATTTATTTTTGAAACTACCTTTTGTTAAAGTAAAATTTTTGTATTATTTATTATTGTTATCATTATTATTATAAAAATAGTTATTTTAATTTTGTTTAAAAAAATACGTTTGACAAATTTACAGATTGTTTTAACATTTTAAATGTAAATTGAAATAACTAACTAATACAAAATTAAATTATTTAAAAAACTAAAATTCACAAATTTTATGGTGATGATATGTGTCACTTTTTAGCTCTTAAATGATCACTATATATATATTTATACATATAACATAATATGCTGACCAATCCTATTATATAATAGGGAACTTTCACATATGGACACTTTAAAATAGCTTAATTACTCTTCATTACTATAGTTTGATAATTAGAATTCGTAATTACATGTTATATGGAGGAGAGAGGCGAGCGAGACAGGGAGAGAGAGGAGAGATACGAGAGAAAGGGGAAAAACAGTGGGAGAAATGTGAATTGTATATCTAAATCGGTTAGATAATTGTATATTATACATATGTATTTATATATATGACAAGCGAGAGTGGGAGAGGGAGGAGAGAGGCGAGCAAGATTGGGAGAGGGAGGAGAGAGGCGAGCGAGATTGAGAGAGAGGGTGAGGCGAGCGAAAAGGAAAGAGGGGGGAGAGAGGCGAGCGAGATTGGAAGAGGGAGGAGAGAGGCGAGCGAGATTGAGAGAGAGAGGGTGAGGCGAGCGAAAATGAAAGAGGGGGGAGAGAGGCGAGCAAGATTGGAAGAGGGAGGAGAGAGGCGAGTGAGATTGGGAGAGGGAGGAGAGAGGCAAGCGACATTGGGAGAGGGAGGAGAGAGGCGCGCGACATTGGGAAAGGGAGGAGAGAGGTGAGCGAGAGAGGGGAGAGAGTAGGAGAGAGGTGAATTATATATGTATACAAGTTAAATTTTTGTATATTATGTATATGCATTTATATATTCTTGCGAATTATACATATACAAACGTGACTAATTATACAAACTCGAAGTTAGCCCACGTAGTTAATGTATAATGTTAGTCGACAGTGGTAATTATAGCAAACTATAGCTAAAACGAGTAATTAAATAGTATAAGTTTGCTTTGTTGCATAATTTTTCCCTATATATTCTATTATATATTATACTATACTATTATATAACGGAAAAGGGCCTAAAATACCCTCGAAGTATTGAAAATGGTACACAATTACCCCTCATCCACCTATTAGCCCACAAATACCCTTCACATCCACCTTTGGGTCCAAATTTACCCCTTCATTAACGGACCAAAATTAAAAAAAATATTATAATTTTTAATTACGTGACACTCAACCATTGGTTGTAATTTAATTATTTAAAATAATTAAAACCCACCCATTACCCACCGCCCAAACCCGCCCCACTTACCCAATTTTAAAAAACCCATCTAACTAAAAAACCCTAAAAATTTATTCATCCAATTTTCACAAACCCACGCTCAAGGTTGTCTTCTTCTTCTTCTTCCTCTTGCAACTTGAAGAAAATTCGTTCACAATCTCGACTTGAACTCAAGTAAGAACTTTTGTGCACTTCGAAATTTCAGTTAGGATTTAGGTTTTAATCGATGTTACTTGTTTTGAGAATTGATTTCAAGTTTATGTTAATTTTTCGTGTATTCTGTGCTTTTTTGACAATTACTTATGGTGATACTACAATTTTATTTAGTGTTGTCTCTTTATGTTAGTGTTGTGTGTTATTATGTTGATTTTGAGTAGGATTTTTTTATTGTTGTCTCAAATTTGTTCTTTTCTGCCTTTACTCGTCGTTTCTCCCTTTATTTCATAATAATTTTCAATTTGTGTTAGTCAGATATGCCTTTACTATTGTTAGGTATGAATTATTTTATTATTAAATGGTCCATTTTTTTAGATTTTAGGTATTATATTATATATTTTTGCGTATGTAAAGTTTTACTTTGAAGCATGTGGTCCCTATTCTTTTACTCTTGGTAGATTCCTCTATTTTTTTTTAAATATTTTGTTGTTGTCTAATATGGCCCTTTTCTGTTTTTTTTTGTCTATAATGTCCTTTTCTTGAAGAATGGTTGACAAGGTGGACCTATTATTCTATTATGGGGGCAAGTGGGTACTGACACCTAATGTTATTTACATTAAAAAATTCACTCATGTTTGGAAGGAGTATGATCCAGATTTATTGTCATATATAGACATATGTGAAGAGTTCCATGAAAAGTTAGGCTTTAGTAAGGTACAACAACTTCTACTCAAAGGACCTTCTGAGACGTATTATTTGATTGAGGGGGATTCTGGCATAAGAACAATACAAACAGCACTGTCTATTAAGTCCGGTGTACTTGAATTATTTGCTGTAGATGAGGGGGATGATGTTGTTCCAGCTATTGACATCAGCCACAATGATGAACCATACTTAGTCACAGTAGATGTTGCTACTGAAGGTGAATCAAGTGAGGAAGAAGATGATGAAACTGAACCTAATCTAGTCACATTGAATGAACCTAATCTAGTCACAGTGAATGTTGGAATAGATGTTGCAACTGAAGGTGAATCAAGTGAGGAAGAAAATAATGAAAATGAGCCTTATCCAAGTGACTACAATAGTGAAGAATTGGAATCCTTTAGGTTGGAAAAGAAAAGAGAAATTAATGATCAACTTGACAACTTTAAAGAGTTGGAAAAAGGTATGAGTTTTAAGAACCTTGATGAAGCTAAAAGGGTTGTAAGTTACTACTGAATTGCTAGGAAGGTTGCCCTTAGAGTTGACAAGAGTGACTCTGTTAGAGTTAGATATAAATGTATTGTTGGTTGTCCTTTTGTGAGTCTTATTTCTGAAGTTAAGAAAGGGCAAGGATTTGAAATTAAGACTTTGCAAACAAAACATACATGTCCAGAAGCATTCAAGAATAGAAGAGCTACTCAACAAGCTCTAGCACACTACTTTAAGAATAGGGTCCAAAATGATCCTAACTGCAAAGTGACTGAAATGAGAAAGATTGTAGATGATAACTTTAACCTTAATATTAGTTATTCAAAAATGAAGAGGGTTAAAAGACTTGTACTGGAAAAACTAGATGGTAGCTATGTTGATGATTTCAATAAATTGGAGGGTTATGCTCAAGAGTTAAGGGACAGTAATCCTGGTACTGATGTAATTATAAACATATCCAAAGAGGCTTTGTTGGAACATGGACAAATAAAATTTTTGAGAATGTATATTTTTATTCAGGCTTTGAAAAGTGGTTGGAGAGCTGGTTTGAGACCATTTATAGGGTTAGATGGCACCTTTTTAAGAGGCAAGTTCAAGGGAATTTTATTGGTCGCACTTGGTCAAGATTCAATGAAGCATTTCTATCCACTTGCTTGGGCAGTAGTTGATAGAGAAACTATTAGAACATGGAAATGGTTCATTGAGTTGCTGAGGAACTCATTGGGGTTGGCAGATGGTGAAGGATTGACACTAATGTCTGATATGCAAAAGGTAATTTTGCAAGTGTTTGACAGTTTTTTATTTATAGTTATTGTATACACTTGAATTTTTTTAAGCTATTCTATTCTATTTTTTTCTTATTGTTACAGGGCTTGATTGGTGCTGTTAGTGCTTTGCTTCCAAAAGCACAACATAGATGGTGTGCAAAACACATAGAAGCCAATTGGTCTAAGTCTTGGAGTGGTGTACAGATGAAGAAGATGTTTTGGTGGTATGCTTGGAGTACATATGGAGAGGAATTTGAAGACCAATTAAAGTCCATGGGTTCTGTGTCTAAAAAAGCAGTCGAAGGTCTTTTATGGTATCCACCACAACATTGGTGCAGGGCCTTTTTTGACACTGTCTGCAAAAACTACTCATGTGAAAATAATTTTACTGAGTCTTTCAACAAATGGATTTTGGAAGCAAGGGCAAAACCAATAATCAAGATGCTGGAAGACATTAGAATTAAGGTATTGCCGCTATTTTATATAACTATATGATAACATCTATTAATGTTTAATATGATAGTAATATGTAGGTGTACATGTATAAATTATATATGTTATATACATGTTATATATTTCATTGTTATCTATAGGTTATGAAAAGGTTGAAAAAACTTGAAGAAGAGGGTAAGAAGTGGACGGAAGAGTATAGTCCATATTCTGTGGATCTGTATCATGATTTCAGAATGATTGCTCAAGGTTGTCAAGTTGTTGCTAATGGAGACTTAGGATATGAGGTGGTTGAGGGTGTAGATAGACATGTTGTGAATCTTGCTAGAAAGAAGTGTACTTGTAGGACATGGGATTTGAAAGGAATACCATGTCCTCATGCTATTAAAGCATTAGAACATGATAAAATAGAGCCACTGAATGAGATGCATTGGTGGTATTCTAAAGAAGCTTACTTGCTTGTATACCAGCCTAAAATGCAACCTGTTAGAGGTGAGAAATTCTGGAAAATTGATCTTTCTCAATCTATGCAACCACCACAAATTCATAAATTGGTTGGTAGACCAAAATTAAAGAGAGTAAGGGAAAAAGATGAGGCAAGAAAAAGGGAAGGATTATGGTCGAAAAGTAGAAAAGGATTGCAAATGACATGTGGAAATTGCAGTGCTGTAGGTCATAATCGAAGAAGATGTCCCCTAGTAAGTCATGTTTTATCAATTTTTAATTACTTTCAATGTATAATTATTTATCTTACACTTTGACAAATTTTACAGCTTCAAGAAGGAAGACAAGTTCTCCCAGATGAACCAATCTTGATGCCAACTCTTGAATTTGTTGCATCTTCTAGTCGACAAACTAGCCATCAATCAAGTGAAGAATTCAATGAAGTTGCTGGTCCTTCAAAATCAAAGAGAAAAAATGTTTCAAAGGACAAAGTTGATGCACTACCAAAGAGGTCTAAAAACGATGGAAAAGAAAAAGTTATTGCACCTTTGATTGCAATTGTTGATCGGGATGAAGTTGAAGACAGTATTGAATCTGAGGATGAGAATACAATCCTTGCACCTAGAGTGATATCTGAAGAAAAAACTAGACTTCAAATGAAGAAGATGCTACAACAACCAATTGGTTCAAGAATGATTAGTTATAAGGGTGATGAAAATGGTGTTGTTGTCCCTACTAATTTACCATACTCACCAAAAAAGCTAACTTGGAAAGGCAAAGCATGTGTGACCTCAAGTCAGTTGAATAAAGACAAGGAAAAAAAGATTGGCAAGCTTAAGGCAAAGAGGGGCAAACATTAGAAAGTAGTTGTTAAGTATTGGTTTAAAGAGTTTTTATTTAGTATGTAATGGCACAATGGAACTTCTTAAACTGCTATTTTTGGAGGGGCAAGCATTACAAATTAGATTGATAATGTTTTGTTGGCTGAAAATATTTTGTGACTTGAAAATTTTATGAATGCATTCTATTATTTGATGGTTTTGTGAAACTGTTGAAACTTTGTGGTTGTGGAACTGTTGCAGTTTTGTGGTTTGTGAAACTGCCTTGCACATGCTGTGTTCTATTTATGAGACTACATTAAAAACTTGCTTGGTGTTATGTGTTTCAGCTTGAGTTTGGTTGGTATCCTCGGAACTCTATTTGAAACTGATGACAGAGTTGTTTAGTGTACATTAAACTGATGACAGAGTTGTTTAGTTGTTTAGTGTACATTAACATCTAGGTGAATGCTAGACAGGTGAATGCTCTTTTCATATTTCCGTCTTTTTTGGCAGCAATTTTTTTGTGTAAAGACATTGTTGGTGTACTGCAACTAGTTGATTGAGTGTTTAATTTAATGAATATGGTTTCTTTATGATTGAGTCTTTTTTGGCAGCAATATGGTTTTTTTTTGCTTTGATGTTTAGGTCTTTTTTGGCAGTAATATAGTCTTTTTTGGCAGCAATATTTTAGTGTGCAACATATGCTTTTATTGCTGTTATTTTGTAAAAATCATCATACATCCTGTGTCTTATGCCATGTTAATAAATTTTAGTTCCCTTTTCAATCTCAAGCTGTGAAGTTCCAGCTTGTAGAAGCGGTTTAATGATTTTGCTTCTTTTCCGTATGAAACATGTTTGATGAAGTTACAGTATATAATATTGACAGATTAGCTTAATTTCTGATCATCTATCAAATTTGAAGAGGTCAAGAGTTTGGTTTCTTACTTGGTTCCACATAGTTCATATTACTTTGTTAAACTTTTCTCAAGATTGTGGACAAATTAATATCTCAATATTTTGATACACTCTAACAGGAAGTGTACTCCATTTTGTACAAATGCAACCTCCTTAGAAGATCTAATAGCAAAATATACTATTTGACCTGTTATATTTTTTACAAAGATTTAGTTTGGTATACAAGATCAGATTGCATGATATGCTATTGTTTTTCAGAATTTCCGTAGAAGAGTGTTTGCATCCACCAAAGGTGTTGCTACGTCAAATATTTTGTGATTTACTTCTTCAGATAATTCGTTTGATAGATTGCTGAAAGATAATTGACACACCTGAATGTGAGTTTGTGTAGAACTATCGTTCTACTGAGAAGAGATGTATTTAGATACTAATGGATTGTGTTTATTATAGTGGTATTGGGCTTGCTGGGTACTGGAAGGTGGTTGCTTAGTTATCTATATCTAACTGGAATTGTATGTTTATTCTTTATATTTGATCTGGAGCCTCGACGAATAAATTGGATGGTATAAAAGTTATTTGCATAGTATCATGTTATACACTTCCTTAGCTATTATGTTCCTCTACACTAGGGTGTCTCATGACTTTGTTTGATTAAGCTTTACTCTTATTTGTTTTTGGGAGTCTGCAAGTATTGTTTGTGGATAGCCTAGTGCGTTTGATTCTGGAGTTTCGAAAGAGTTGCTTTTTGGGAGAGTAACTAATACATTGATGACGTTCTTTTATGGCATCTACTTTTACCTTAGCAGTGATAGAAGCTTGCTCTTGTATATATTGAGATACAAGTTTTGCTTTTTTGTGTATCAATGGCATTGTTTTACTTAAGCATATCTATCTAGTATGATTTTTGGACATTGATATTCTGTTGTTTCTGTGCCCTATTTTAGGAACTGCAAATATTCAGCAGTTCCTTCTTCTGCAGTGAAGGAATAAAGAGATTAAATGTTTGCCGATGGTTCTCTTTTGAGGAAATAGCTCTGAACAGAGGAAGCAACAATCACTGAATTACTGCCAAATTGATGAGAAATTAACAATGAAGTAGTAGACATAACAATCAAAACAAATGTAGCTTTGCCAGAAAATGCACACACTGATGTATCATTAGTAATAACAATATTGCATAATTCTTCATTAGTAGACACAACAACAACCAACATCATCTTCACAAATAATCAAAATAAAATGCAGCTCACTAACTTAACACAAACAATTGCACTACACTAAATCATCTTGGCAGCTGCAAAACCAAGAATAATAGCCCAAGAAACTGCAAGCAAACTTATCAATTTATGAACTTTCAACTCTAACTTTGAAACTTTTTCATCCAAGCTAGATACTTCTTCATCTTTGAACTCTCAATTTTATCCATCAACTCCAAATTTGACATTTTTCCCTTCAAGGCAGAAACTTTCGTCAAATCAGAAATTTCATTTTCATTCATATCATTCAACTCAGACATTTCATCGGCAGTCATATCCTTCAAATAAGAATCTCCAATGCCACCCATATCCCCCACAATCTTCTTCAAATGATTTTTTTCTTTCCGAATTGAATCCAATTCAACTTTTTGATTATGAATCATGGTTGACACATGGCGTGGAAGTTTGTCATCAGTCCAATTCCAATAACCACAAGAATTTGACCCAACACGACCACATCTGTAGAATCGACGCCCACCATTTTCAAGACTTGTAGCAGTATAATATCTTGCAAAAAATTCACACTTACATGTACGAGATTGAAGTTCTTCAGGGGAAGAAATCGAAGAAGAAGCTGACATGCAAGATGAAGAAGAAGAAGAAGACAACCTTGAAATCGATTCTCAAAACAAGTAACATCGATTAAAACCTAAATCCTAACTGAAATTTCGAAGTGCACAAAAGTTCTTACTTGAGTTCAAGTCGAGATTGTGAACGAATTTTCTTCAAGTTGCAAGAGGAAGAAGAAGAAGAAGACAACCTTGAGCGTGGGTTAGTGAAAATTGGATGAATAAATTTTTAGGGTTTTTTAGTTAGATGGGTTTTTTAAAATTGGGTAAGTGGGGCGGGTTTGGGTGGGTAATGGGTGGGTTTTAATTATTTTAAATAATTAAATTACAACCAATGGTTGAGTGCCACGTAATTAAAAATTATAATTTTTTTTAATTTTGGTTCGTTAATGAAGGGGTAAATTTGGACCAAAAGGTGGATGTGAAGGGTATTTGTGGGCTAATAGGTGGATGGGGGTAATTGTGTACTATTTTCAATACTTCGAGGGTATTTTAGACCCTTTTCCGATTATATAATATAATATAATATACAATAAAAATACTATTTTAATAATAATAAATTAGATACCGCCCCAACATGTCCGCTTTCTGATGTCCAATTCACCTTCAACCCTATAAATATTCTAGGCACGAAGGCAATTGTTCTCGCAATTGTTCTATCCCACGTTGCATTTTTACCTGTATAATTTGGTGTTATTTCGGCCATATTATTATTGTTGATGAGATTCTTAATTATTGTATGATCAAGATACAACAGTTATCGTATGATTAATATTCGGGGTGATAGTTGTGCCTTATTGTTGATATGGGTCATTATTGTTATCGTTGGTATTGGCTAATTTTCGGTTTATCTGGGTTACTATGGTTGATAGTGGGTAGGTATGGCTGGTTCAAGATACTGGGTGATTATTGTTGATCAGGATGATGGGTAATTCTTGCATAGGATTCTCTTTAGAAGATAAGCTGATGCCTTCCTTTGGGGAGCGCTCGCTTGTGCAATGATTCCATGCTTCTTAAAGTCTTTTTTGATGTGTTTGTAGTAGCTTATGTGTTTGGTTTTTGATTTCTTGGCCATCTCAGGATTATATAAATCTCACGTTATCTACTTTCTAATCTTTGGAGCTCTTTGATCATCTCTTTAGAGAAGGAACGATAGGGGTTTGGGAAGTATTTTTCAGCTCACAATTACTTCTATTTTTTTCCTCTGATTAATTGATGCATTATTATTGTTTATTTGATCAGGTATGGGTAATGACACTTGCTTTTAATGTTACCTTTGTCTCAATGTTAAGTCTTCAGTTTTTTTTGTGAGAATTCATGTGTTTTGTCACACTCTGAAACCTAGAAATTTCCTTTTGTTAAATCAGAATACAGTAGAATTGGAAATTTTGTTCCCTGGCATTGCCTACTTGGATATTCTTGTCTAGTGGAGCTATTAATTTGGACTTGATATATTGACTTCCATATTTAATGCTAATTATGATGTTAATCATGTGTCTCCTTGCATCTACTTCTTTTGCCTTGTTATTTTGTTTGGTCAAGAATACATAGATGGACATCTAGGAGCAAGTGGTTCTACAGGAACAAGTGTCTTGCTATGGTGTTTGTGGTAAAGATGCGGCAGTTCCCAGGTCTGTGTTTGAAGGTTTTGGAGTGTTCAATCCCTCAAAGCTCTGCTAAAAATTGTAAGAAATGGAAGTTTGTGTATAGTGTGTTCTGCTGCAAGTTAGTTTTAGTTGTAAATTCAATTTTTCGTGATTTTGATGATCCTGGTGTCTTATGGCGTTATAGGCACTGTATAAAGTCACGAGTAAATTCTGGATCTTTGATAGTGTTGTAAAGTGCTCTTCTGCTACTTATTATCTCATTGTTTTCCCTTTGTTACCATGCCAACTTGATTTCTGTTCATTAGTGAATGAATGTTTAAACCACGTTGTGGCAGTAACAGAGTACTAGTTTTTGGAAATCCTAAGGATTGTATCCGGTATGCATTCTTGTGCTATTTGTTTATTGGTCTTCTTTGTCCTTGCACTCCAAGATGGATATTGTTAGGCTTCAATCAAAATGAGGGTTCTTGATCTTGTCTCTCGCATCTCTCGTGATTTCTTAGGTGATATGGGAAACTTTTAAGGATTGTATCCAGTGTTCATTCCTGTACAACTTGTTTATTGGTCTTTTTTCCTTGCAGTCCAAGATGGATATTGTTGGGTTTCAACCATAATGGGGTTCTTAGTCCTAGTCTCTTGCATCTATAGTGATTTGTTAGGTGTTACGGGTTCCGTCTGCTTTGCACTTAACTGGTCCCTTCTTATTGTGCTTGTAGTTAGGTCTTACTGAGTAGTGAATTATTTTTCTTCATGGAGGGGCTTTGCTTGGCCATTTGTGTTGAGGTTTCTAGGTTCAGATATTGTTAGTACTGAGATACTCATTTGAGTTTTTTCCCAAATCAAAGTGGTCCGTATTCTCT